CAGCTTTTGAACTAAGGGACAGTCCTTCCTGCTCCATATACCCAGGTACCAGCAAGCCGGTGCTTATCAGGCACTGGACCCTGGAATTCCTGTGGTTTAAACAGCAGCAGAAGTCTTTACCTCCCCTGGCAGGGAGCCCTGGGCCTAAGTCAGTGATGGGCTGTGAGACTTTGGACAGATCCCTCCCCCTGCCTGGGCCTCAGCCTCCTGACCTCCAAAACCAGGGGAAGTGGACCTGGGTCAGAGCCGTGGTTTCCAGAGTAGGGGGTCCATAAAGTTGGCAGGACAAGCCAATGAGCTATCTCCAAAATCTAAAAGCCAAACGGGGTCACACTATTGTCCTGGAGTGGAGGACACAGGCTTTCGGGCTAGAATGAGAGCATCTCATTGTATGAGCTCTGCCGACAGCCTGTAGATCAGAAGTTCACTGGGGGGGGGAGTTACGTTTACAGGAAAAAATACAAGAAAACGAACTAATTGTTAATTTGGGAAATACCTTTTTTTGGGAAATAAAAGCTTTCAAAATAGCGGGTCCATGGAGGGAAGATGGGAACGATCAAAGATGTTTGGAGAACACCCCCATTTTTGCTTCCGTTGTCACACGGCCTTCCGCTGACTCGGATCCTTCTCCTCCCTCTCATGAGGACTCTAATCCTGGGCCCATCTGGGTAACCCAGGACCATCTATACGTTTCAAGATCCTTAACGTCCTCACATGTGCGAAGCCCCTTCTACCATGAAAGATAACAGATTCTTAGGTTTAAGGGTTAAGATGTGGACATCTTTCAGCAGGAGGTGGGGGGCATGATTCAGCCCACCACACAGCCGCACCCCATAGCTGGCTTCGGGGATCTCCTGAGCTTTCTGAACAATAGGGTGGGTGTTGCATGACCATGAAGAGGGTTTCTTTTTGTGGGTTACTCTCCATGGACTCTGGTCTCACCACAGAGTCCACAAAGGTGGGAGAGGTCTTCTCAATGCCATGGGGTGTGATCGAAAAGGTTCTTTCTGGTGTGCTCATCAGACCCCAAAGTGTCACTTGCCGGATGTTGTGGCTGTAGGATTTTGCCCAACTCATCCGGCCACAGGCCTTTGGAGGTCCACAGAGCTCGAAAAATCTCTAAGGTTGAATGGAGTTGCTTTGAGAGTCTTTATCTTGAGCTCCCACTGCTCGTAATTATCTTTGGACAGCAGCCACTGCGGAGAATGGAAGAATATCTGTGGCTGGGGGTGGCTGCCTGATGAAGCAGCAAAGTGTTCTGGGCACAGGCAGACAGATCTGGCCAGCAGTGCAAGACAATACAGCGCTCTGAGATCGCTCATCCACACCTCAAACTTATTTTGCTGTAGCTCTCAGGTAGCCCAGCTACAACCCCTAACAGGAGCTCTTACGGTTCCCAGTCAAACCCTAGGATGTGGCATTGGTCCTTTTGGGAGCAATCCAGGAGCTGGGGACCTAAGGCTGCACTGTCTGTGTGGCTGGGCTGGCAGAAGCCATGGGCTGCCTTGGCATGGGCACCCTGGCAGACAAATGCTGATGCCACTTCAAAGAACCGCCCCTCCAGGTGCTGAGGGTGGCTTTTCTGCTGCTCACACTGTGTCATTGTTTATTTTCACAAGGCGCCCAGCTGTTGTGGTGATGATATTTACATCAGTAAGTGCTCTATTCATCTGCTGATTTCAGGGGACGCTTGCCAGCTGCATATGGCAGCCAACCTCAGGGCACTTCTAAGCCTGATGCGTTTGCATTTAGAGAATCAGTTCTCAAAGGCTGTACCAACATTTGGGGCTGAAAGATCTTCTTTCACCCAGGACCCACCCTGAAAGGGGAAGATATAGCCCATGACCACGACCCTTGCTTCTCTATACGTCCCAAAGTGAGGTTCTTTAAAAATCCTCTTCTCTGCCTTGAGTTCTAGTTTCGCAAAAAAGGGATGCTGAAAAAAGGGAACAGCAAACAGGCTTTCCTTGGCTCTACTTCACTCATGGAGCAAAGTTCACTTTTTTTCAGCAAAGGAACAGGGTAGAGATGCCTTCTGACTCAAGAACTCTGTGGGGGTCTTTGTGTTATGGAAACCCATTTCATTTCATGGTTATCTCAGATTCCAATGGTCTGTTGTTTGGGGCCCAACCCTTGGAATCATCTTTTTTTCTCTCGCACTTTCCATATTCAATCAGTCAGGATATTTTGTTGGGTCCTTATATATCCACAATCCACTCCATCACTGCCACCTGGGTTCAAACCATCGACACCTGTCACCTGGATTCCTGCCCAAGCCTCCTCTCTATTCTCTCTGCTTCCACTCTTAACCACCCTCCCTCTTCCTGCACCAACCGTCTATTAACACAGCAGATTTAAAAAAAAAGTTGAATTCCTTTTTCAAGTCGCTCCTCTCGTCAAGACCTGTCAATGACTCACATTTCTGTCCAAGTAAAACCCAAAGTTCTTCCTGTGACCCTCCCCACCCCCGCCATTCAAGGCTTCTCTACGACCTGGTCCTCCTGTGTTTCTGTGTCACCTTCTGCTGCTGTCCCCAAACTTGCTCTGCTCCAGTCTCAGTGGCCTCTGACGTTGTTCCTCAAATGGGCCAGGCTGTGCCCACCAAAAGGCCTTGGCGTGGGCTGTCCCCTCAGCCTGGCATCCTCCCTGAGATGGTCACTTGTCTCATTCTGTCACCTCCTCCAAACCCGCACTGACCTTCTCGTTGGGCCTGTCTCAATCACTCTATTACAGCAGCAGCCAGTGCCCCAAACCAGCTTTCTGACTTTCATGACCCTGCCCTCTTATTTTTCTTTTTCCCGGAACTTGTCACTTTCTAGCATATAATTAAAGGACATTATACAGTGTGTGTTGACTGTCTTCCCTGCGTTAGCACAGAAGGGTCAGGAGAGATGGGAGTTTTCTGCTGTGCTTTCTCTGTCTTGTGTCCTGATGCTGGCCAAGCACTGAGAGCTGCCTCTGGCAAATAGCAGATACTCCACAAATACGGCTGAATGAACGAGTGCAACCCGTCCCGAACGCCTCTCACATGTACACCCGATCGCACTCAATTTCACCTCCCATGCCCTGCTCCTCTCTCGGCCTCCCCAGTCTTCCTGCTCCCTCTCCCCCGCCCCCTTACCTCCCTGTCTGGGCCAGTTGTATCCCCAGATGCCTGATTGCCAGACCGGAATCCCCGCCACCATCCACGACTTCTCCCTCCCATTCACCTCCCACATCCAGCTCTCCTGAAACTGGTGGGCTTTTCACATCCAACCCCCATCCTCTCGCCTCCTGGCCACCTCTTCAGTTCAGATCATCCTTTCATTTTGTGCACATGGGCAGCATCCTCCTCCCCCATCTCTTGGTTTCCAGGTTTTTCCTCTAGCTTTCCCTCCTCACTGGTCCCCAGACACGCCTTTCTAACAGGATCTCTGCCACTCTGCTGGTCCACCTCTTCCACATCTCCTCCCTGTACAGCAACTATTTTCCAACTGTGCTCCTAGGAGCCCCAGGGGTTCCACAAAGGGACCCAGAGTGGCTGACTCTCTGAGGGGCACCAGGGGGAGCCAAAAGACCAGGTGGGTGGAGCCCCAGCGCCCCCCCTCCCCCCGCCCTTAACACTAGCAGGTTACCTGATACCTGCTTCATAGATTGAGCTTGCATGTAAGTTTTTATTTGGAGAAAGGATTCTGTGTGCAAAATAAAAATCTTAAAACGAAAAACAAAACACTTACCGTGCTGCAGGCCAGGGCCCAACCTCCTTGCCTTGCAAGGGCAGCCGTGTGCATGCTGGGCCCTGACGCATTTTCCAGTGTCGCCACCCTCGCCTGCTGACACCCCGAACCCCAGCCACGCTGCACCCAGAGCTGTTCTGCAGACAAGCCTGCAAGCGCTCATCCCACGCTGCCTTTGCCCCTGCTGTTCCCTCCACTTGGAATGTCTTTTCCCAGCTACCTCATCTCCCACACACCAAATCTCTGCTGCCTTCTTCAAGGCCAATGTCACCTTCTTTTTGAAGTCTTCCCTCACCCTCTGGGCAGAATTAATTGCTCCCTGTTCCCCGCCAGCACAGCACTTCGCTGCTGACCTCTATTATGGCACTGCCACGCGAGGCTGGGACAATTTGCTCATCTGTCTCTGTAGCCAGACTGTGAGCTCCTGGCGGGCTGAGGCTGTAGCTCAGATCCAGTTTTATTTTATTCCCACACCAGGCCGGCACTCACACAGAAGTGTGCTGAGTTACTGTGAGTTTCCTTCACAACACTGAAAGGGTTGTTTTTAAAAAACCTGAAATTCTCACTTCCTCCACCCAGGAATGGCTGCCTTGCCTTGGGGATGTGGGATCCTGGAGCTGTCCCATGACATGTATCCTATGNGTCTTCAAAACCCAATTCAAATGTCCCTTTCTCCAGGAAAAGCCTTCCCTGACGCTCCCAGGCAGAATTCATCTCTCGCTCCCCGAGGTTCATGCGCTGGAACACATCTCATTGTCCCATTAGATAGTGAACTCTGAGGGCAGGGCCTGAGCTCTGTTCATCCTGGGCCCCCAGGAAAAACCAAGGTCACCTTAGAGTACCAGTCTGCTCCCTCCCACCCAATTCTCCTCCACCCAGCCGGAGAATTTCATGGAAGCAGCTAATTCTTGTTTATCTGGGTGTTGTTTCCAGGATCTAGCCCAAGGCTTCATGGGTCCAATCAAAGTCTGCATCAACATGTGCCAAAATAGCATGACATGGTGGGAAAGCGCTAATTTCTCAGAAGTTTTGCCTACAGGGCAGCGAGTGTGTCAGGAAACAGGCAGACGGCAGGCAGGCTGGATGTCGCCCTGCACGTCTGTGTGTGTGGGAACCATTGCTGGGTCTGGAGCCGGAATCGGCAGAGGCATCACTTCCCCGAGGATGAGATTATCGGGAGAGCACAGCACAGACTCTTGGCTGGTATGCGGTCTCCCCTCCCGGCAGCCTCCATCTGTTTGTGGGGAGAAGGCTCACGGGAAGCAACGGCGGCCCTCCACTTACCCGAGCCATGTTGCAGATGCGGAATATCCTGTGGATGATGTCCTCATCGATGTCTGCGGAGACGAACTCCACTTGGATGGGTCCGTAGCACCCAGAGGTCTTCTCAGGCCAGTACTGCATACAGAGCTGTGGGGAGGAAGAGGTCACAGGACAGGGGGGCGTTGGTCTCATTTGTCACTGAGCCTTTCTTGCTGCCTGCAGAACACCCTGGCTATCATGTAGGAAATTAGACACAGCTTCTCCATTGGGGATCAGGCACCCACCCACTTTTTCTGGTTGTTGAAAAGTCAAAGCTCTGAACACAGAAACACAAGGCTCAAACATGTTTGCTATGCTGATTTCACGCCATCTGTTGGACTGGCTGAGCCTCAGTTTCTTCCTCTGTAAAACGAGGAGAATAACATTGACCTGCAAGTGCTGCTGTCAGGATTAGATGGCACGCTCTGAGGGAAGGGCAGGTACAATCCCTAGTTTTCTTGTTACTGATGCAAATCATGGCAAACACTTCACTTTTCCAGGAAAACCTTCACAATGCTCCTTTCATGATCAGATCATGAGCAGTTTCAAACTACATATAAGCTTTGGCGTCAGACAGGCTTGGGTCGAAATCCAGGCCCTGATGCTCATGAGCTGTGGGACTCAGGCCTCAGCTTTCTCACATGTAAACTGGGGACAGTTATGCTTATTCTGCCCCAAAAGGTGTTGTGAGATCTTGCCCACGATCTTTCCTAGTTTTCTGGAATTGGGAATTAAAACCTCCAGCTGAGAGCAGAGGCAATGGTTGCCCCTCAGCCTAAGACAGTGATTCTTAGCCAGAGGTTGTTTTGTCACCCAGGGGACATTTGGCAATGTCTGGAGACATTTTCGATCGTCACACCTGGGGGTTGCTATGGGCATCTAGTGAGTAGAGGCCAGGATGTTGTTAAATATCCTCCAACATAAAGTATCCTGNCCAGGCAAAGACCCTGGCAAAAGACCCTGCTGAAGAGATCACCCAAAGCACCTGTCCGTTCTGTGATCTCTCAGTGCCCCTGTGGCCAAAAAAAGGAAAAAAAAAAGGCTTTCAGCTGTGGATGCTACTTATGCACTGAGGGGGGGGGGGAGGCTGTCTTTCAAGGGTCTTCTCCTGCTCAGCTGAATGGTCATGGAGGGCAAAATATTTAGTTTCCCCAAAAGCCAAACTCCAGTTGCAGACAGCAGGTCGTGGAGCCATTTCCAGCTGTGGAAAAAGAGTCCAAGCTTTCAGAGTCAAACAAGTTGGGGTCCAGGCCCTTGACTGCAACGTTTCTAAGCTCGTTGACCTAGAGATGGTCATGGAGATACTTCGACACTCAGCACCTCCTCCGGAAAACAGGGGTGGGAGTAGCCACGTGTAGGAGAGGACAGCACAAGCCCAGCGCCGCCATGATGCCCAACACCCGCTGAATGTTAGTTTCTGAATGCTGGTTTTCTTTTTTTCCCCCGTCTCTGTGATAAACGCGCTATTAGGCCAGCACGCCTGACAAAGGCTTATCTGAAAATAGGTTCGAGATCCGTGCTTCTGCCGGGTTTCGGGGATCAGCCGGCAATCCATTTCATGGATAACATCATCCTTTACCAAGAAAACATTAAAAATTAACCCAGAGGACTTCATATTTTTCTGCTGGGAGCAAAGCTGCTATGGTTACCAGATAATGCACAGGCTGAGCTGGAATACAGACAAGGACTTTTTTGTTTTTGTTTTTTGTAAGAAAGCAAAGGCTCACAGCGATGGCTCACGGAAGAAAGAGAATACCCATCAGCCTCTGAGCTTGGCAGAAGGCATTTGACTCCAGGCAGCATCGAACCCATGAAGGACATTTGATCCTTGGTTCAAAGAAGAGGGTGGAGCTGCTGGGGGAGTTGGGACAAATGGCAGACAAAGCTAGAAGGAACTTGGAAGTGTGGGTGCAGCCCCAAGCCCCATTTCTTACCACACACACACACACACACACACACACACACACACACACACACACACTTCTTGACCTTGGAAAGCTCTAGGCTAAAGCCAGAGGTCTCCGCTCCACATCCAGTTATCTCATCTGCCCAGGACAAGGCTCCTTGCTTTTGGACCCAGAGCCAGGGTTTCCGTGGAGGACCTGGGCATCCCGTGGACAGAGGCCAGGGCAGGTCCCTACAGAGCTAAGATAGGCACTGACCTCCTGTCATCTCCTGTCTTGGAAAGAAAGTTTCAGGCGGCTCAGAGAAGTAGTTGGTCTTGACCCCAGGAGAAAGAGCCCCATGTACCTGCCTGTTCTGGGTGAGACGGGCAGCCCACATGGGCTGGATGGGGGTGACCTCACACATGCGTGGGGTGGGGGACCTGGAAGGGCTCACCCCCAATCAGGCAACAGTGTTCTCAGTCCTGGGGACTGGGAGGCAAGATGTCTGAGTCTTACTGGATTGAGTAAACAGTGCGGAGGCTCAGGAAATGAATTCTAGAGTGTGGGCCAGGAGTCCTGGGCTCTGGCTTTGCCACTAGCTCTCTGGATGACCTTCAGCAAGTCTCTTTCCTTCTCTGGCCTCTCCTTTTTTATTTTATTTTTTTCCTGAAAAGTACAAGGATGATACTAGATGACCCATGGTTCCTTCCTGCTGCAAACACCTCTACATCCTGAAAGTGGAGGGGCAATAACTGGAAGGCACTGGAGGACCCAGGGGAGAATCATATGCGTCAGGAGCATGAACCCACTGGGGCAGGGCCATAAGCCTCTAATCCGAAGCCAGGTTGGGGGTGCCCTTCTGGGACCTGATGCTGAGACAGTGCCCCTAACAGAACAGCCATGCTCCCTTTGACCACGCATCCAACGACCATTTACGGAGCACCTCCTAGGTGCCATTCTCATTCTTGCCTCTGCACAGGAGCTACTGGGGAACTGTCTTGTGTTGCCAGGGCCCAGGCCAAGGCCTGGCATGTGGAATGTTCCCTGCACTGAACTCAAGGCTGAGAGTCAGCTCTGCCAGCAGCAGGAAGGGGGCGTTGAACAGGCCTGGAGCCTCGCCATGATGTCATGGGAGCCACTTAAGCTTTTGGTCCATGGGAGCACAAGAGCCGTGAGCACAGCCTGTCTATAGGTTTGGACAAGAGCCAGTGGGGAAGCACAGGCCCTGGGGGCCAGCAAGATCAAAAGCAAGGAGAGGCGGGCCAGGGAGGGTAGTCAGGGCCCTGGGGCGCAGCCGCCTCCACCCTGGGGAGAAGCTTTGGCCTGGGTTGGCGGCAGGAGCGCCCCCCGGCGGGGCTCAGCTTACGTCCATCAGTGCCGCGTTGATGTAGTTGCTAGATTCTCCATCCACCGAGATGAGGAAGGGGAGGCAGCGGTCCAGAGGCAGGACGTCCATGCTCCGGTTCTTATCATGGTTCCGGGGCAGGAGCCCAATGCTGCAGTCCTCGGGCCGCACACGGGGTGTCACGATGTTGAGGGTCTGCGGACGCAAAGGTGGATAGATAGACACAGCTCAGGTGGTTGTCCCGAATAGAGGGATATTCAGACTCCCTAACTCCCCCGTTCCCATCCTTCAAGCTGGGGCCCCCAGTGCCTTTCCCAGGACTTGCTCCTCTTCTGTCGTAATGTTCTATCACCTGCTGGGTGCTCCAGGCGCTGTGAGCTGAAAGCCTCTCCCAGGGGCTGTGTGATGCCGCCATGATGCCAAGGCTGCAGGGGCAGCACGCGTGCACACACACTCAGACACAGGTTCCCAATACCTGCGAGCCACCCGAGCTGAGCTGCTCATCTCAGCCAGGAGGTCATAAGTGGGGGGAGGAACAGGGGTAGGGGATCCCTAATGAGTGTTAAACATCACTTAAAGTAGCATTGAATGAGGAAAATGATTTTACCAGCACGCCTCTCAAAGAGAAAACCGTTTGAGGTTGGATGAGCTGCTTGGACGAGCTGCTCTGCATGGGTGAGAGACCCCAAGGGGGCAAGCTCCAGTGTGTCTGAGCAATCTCAGGGCTCGTGTTCTGCAGAGGAAGTGTGGGGCCAGAGCTGAGCTGCCCCAGCCCGTACACCAGGTGCTTTGTAGCCATCAGAGGTCTAAGTTCTCCATCCTTCCCTCATCTCAGCATTCGGTCTCCACTTTGAATCAATCAAGTCTGCCTATTGGAAGGAGCACTCTGGCCTTGGCCTGACTGGGGTGTCAGCCCATAAAACTGTGGGCCCAGCATCTGCCCCTCAAGTCCTGGACCTCCCTTCCTTTCTCTTGCCTATTCTCAGCTCTTGTTGCCCAGACATGACCTTGGCACTGACCCCAGGACAACGGGCTGGACCCTGGCTTTGCCTTACTCAGTGATGAACGTCCAGGCCTCCAGACCGAAATTGCTATCATTTGGACCACATGGGCTGCAAGGCGCAGATCAGCTACACCTGAGCTGTGCTCCAGGGTGGTGTTTCTCAAACTTTAACGAGCAGGCAAGCCACGCAGGGGTCTCATTAAATTGCAGGTTCCCATTCCTTAGGGGAGGGGATGGGGCCCAAGATTCTGTATTTCTACCAAGCTCCCAGGTGAAGCCAATGCAGCCGGTCTCCAGACCCCACTTGGCATCGTGAGGCCCCAGGACACACTCCAATAGGACAGAAATATTGAGAAAACCCGAGTCCCTTCAGGGACACAGGAACATGACATTCACACCTACCTGTGTGTGTCTACACTTGTCTCCATCCACACCCTGGACTAGAACCAAAGAAGACCTCCGTTCAAAAACATAATCACAGTTAAAAACAAGTGTCAGCATCACTGATGGGTCCGTAGTTGCTCACGGCTGTGCATTTTTGTTCTGGAATTCACTGTGCATTGTGTGCAGCTGCAGACTCCGGAAGCACAAAGACGTATCAGTTCTCACAAAGAAAAACCTCACAAGCGTGCTCAGGGCCCCTGAAGTTGGCTGGGTCACTGAACCTGGGACGTGCTCCTACCTGAAATTCGTCTTTGATTTGGCTGGAGTTGGTCTGGGGGTCCAGCCTGCTGATATTGTAGTAGAGAGAGCGGAACTCACACACAGGGATGGCGGTGTTGCCGCAGAGGCACGCTTCCAGGATGGCGTCGTGCACAAACACGTATTGCTCCTGCATAGCCAAGGGGAGAGGGGACAGGAAACCGGCTGAGAATAGTGGGCTGGGGGCTGGTGTCCACACTGAAGCCCATGGCTGTGGAGAATGGGCACGATTCATATTGCAGAATCACTGCTCTCTATCCTATGTGCCGAAGGGCCAAGTCTCCATGTTTATTAGCGATTATCTGAGCTACGGTGAGTTTTGTCCCTGGTGTAAGATTCGAGGCAGTGTGTCTTGGGCTCACCTCCCAAGTAAACCTCTTAACCCCATCTCCTTGTCTTAGGGTTGGCTCCAAAAACATGGGCTGTCCCCTCTGCCATCTCAGTTCTTTGCACCTGTTGTTCTTGTCTCCTGGACACCACCTCCCCTTTCCTGCACCTTCAATGTGTCATTCCCTCTGGACAGTCTTTTCTAAATTCACTAGGCAGAAGTTGGTGCTGTGGCTTGCAGGCCCTTAACACATGCTTGCTGAGTGCCTGCCTTCCTGCAGAACTCGGCCGTCTTTTTCTATAAAATGCTTATGCAGATGCATCTATTTGAATGTCTGTCTCCCCCAATAGACAGCAAGGACCACAGTGTCCAGTGCCAGCCAGTGAGCCTGCCTTCTGCACGCATGAACCTGGGAACAGATAAAGCAGCCTCTTGGCTGTAGCAGCCCCACCAAGAAGCCTGAACGCTGCCTGTGGGAGTTGGCTCAGAGCCTGCAGCAGGGTCCTATGTGCACAAGCCTGAAAGTGGGGGTGTCCTCGCAGGGCCACCAGTGACTGGCTATGCCCAAAGCTGTGGGGGATGTATTTGCCTTTGCAGGGCTGACGATGAAAGCGGCTCTTGATCTGCCACAGCTGACCGCCTGGGCACCTGCAGCCTTCACGGGACCCAGGAGATGGGCTGGTTACAGGAATGACAAACCATGGCTTCGAGGAGTAGGGCAGGCAGGAAAGGCTGCCTGGCAAGAGAGTGTGGTTCAGAGGACAGAGCACGGCCCTTGGAGTCACATGGTCTGCCATTGTCTGGCTGCGTGAGGCTTTGGGGACACAGTGTCTCGCTTTCCTCATCTGTATAATGGGCGTACTAGTAGGATTTACCCCATAGCGTTGTTGAGAGAAGTAGAAACAATGCCCTGCATACAAAGAACCTAGCATGATGCCTGGCACATAGCAGGTGTTTAACAATAAAGATGAACCCTTCCCGTGTCCCTGGGGTCTTGGGCTCTCTGACTGGAAAGAGGAATCACAGGCAGGGGTTGTGTGATCTCTCTCTTGGACTCCCCAGCACCTAGCTTGAGAACTCAGTAACTACAATATTAATCCATTCCTGCAATGGCTAAAGCAATGCTTAGCAAAGAGTAGGCATTCAATAAATGCCAATCCTTCCCTATCTGTCTCTTCTCTTTCACCCAAGGCAGGCATACCATTCAAAGACTACCTGAATGTTGCCATTTAGTTCCTGCTTGGATGCCCCCAGAGATGGGGAACTCACCACCATTCCTCATTGGTGGGAGTCCCTACCCTGTGGGACCTCAGGGTTGGCAGGGGCATCTAGCTCCTACGATGGTCTCACCCTAGCAAGTCATATATTCACTCACTGACATTTCTTCCACACCCAGGCCCTATTCTATAGGATGCCACCACCCATGGGTCTGCCTGTCCTACTTTGCTTCTTGGCCAGGGCTACAGGTGGCTGGCAGGCTCAGTCCCCCAGGACTCACCTCTGTCTGCACCAGGTTGACCCTCTGGGCCCGGAGCTCGCGCACGCAGTTGAAGATGTCCACCACCCCTTCATTCTCGGCCATGTCGAGCATGGTGTCGATGGCGATAAAGCAGCCAGTCCTCCCAGCTCCAGCACTGGAAGGAAGGACGGGGGTCTGCGTTAGGGATGCTGTGGCGGGGCCGGCCTTGCGGAGGCCCCTCACATTTAGCCCTGTCCCTGAGGGCCCCACAGAGGTCACACAGCACACTGAATCTCAACGCCGGTGACAGATCCTGAGCAAGTGACTTAACTTACGGCCTCAGTTCTCTCTCTCATAAAACGGGAGAGTAATGCTTGCCTTTGGGGCTGTTTTANGCTGAGTTACTGTGAGTTTCCTTCACAACACTGAAAGGGTTGTTTTTAAAAAACCTGAAATTCTCACTTCCTCCACCCAGGAATGGCTGCCTTGCCTTGGGGATGTGGGATCCTGGAGCTGTCCCATGACATGTATCCTATGTCCTGAGTATGGGGATGTGCTGGAGGCACATGATGCTTGGAGCTGACAGACACACAGGGGCTAAGGCATGAAGCCTTGGACACAAGGACCGCCCGTGGCAAAGCTAGGGCTTGGTGTGGTGGTCAGCGGGCAAAGGGTCCAAGGTTCAAGCCTGGGGCTCTGTCTGTGCAGACTGCATGGCGGAGGATGCAGGGTGGGTGGGCGTGGCCAGGCCTCAGGACATTCTGCAGGGCTGGAGACACTCAGAACTGGGGCAGGCAGTTTCCTCTGTGAGCTCTGCATGATTTGGAGGAAGGCCCTAGCCAGTGCCTGGGGGATGGAGCAACTGAGTCTGGCCCTGTGTGGTAGAAGCCCAGACAAAGCGCTCCCCCCAGCAAAGGGGAGTCACTGCTGGGATAGGCCTGGCAGGAGGTGCCTGGCCTCGGCTGTGAGCGGAATGGGCTTGCTTGTTGCTCACAGCCACAGTGCCCGTTAGACAACAGCTCGACTGGGCAGAGGCAGCATGGTGCTGGCTCTCAGGGCTCTCCCTCTAATTCTAGGGCACGGCTGCCCTAATGCACCTGAGCACCTAGGGCAGTGGCCGGGCCGCCTCCTACCTGGGCAGTGTCCATCTCGTTCAGCATCACCACGGACGAGCAGTTATAGTCGAACACCAGCCTCCAGAAGTCGGCCACAGTGTTGGGTAGAGGGTGTTGCGTGACCACGAAGGCGGCGGGCTGCTTGTGGCTCTGACAAAGGAACAACACAGGCTTCGTAAAATATACATCCATCAGCGATGTTCTGATACTGATGGGGCCCGGATGGCTGCCAGAGGCCCCACGCCTGCCAAACAGATTCCACAAAGAACCTGGCTGCGCTGTTATCTCTGGGTGCCCTAGCGGCAAAGGGGACCTTCTCATAATGGACTCATTCTCCTCCAAACTAAGACATTTCATTAGGAAAGTGTCACTCGAATGGGGATTATCCAAATAAATTATTTATGTCTTGGAGCTCAGCAAATAATCATAATTACAATACGAAATGAAAGATTCTGGAGGCAGACTTGCTGCTCTGCTGGCCAAGCCTCCTCTTGGGATAAAAGGAATATCTTGTGTCCTCAAGCCCACAAAATGCTGCAAGAGGGGTGGGCTCAGCCTGAGGCAGAGAGCCTCCTGAAGGGGCTTATACAGTGGCAGGAAGCTTACTCCTGATCCGAGGCTAGAAGGAGGGCTGAGCTGGCCCGGCAGAAGATGGGCACTGTGTCCACGGGGACAGTGAAAGGTGCCCAGGTTTTAGAGTAGGGCAGAGACCTGGGTTCAAACCCAGCTTTGCCGAGTGTACATTGTAAGTCATCCAGCCAGCCAGCCAGCCACTCATTCATGCATTCATTCATTCACGCATCATTTGCAAAGTGACTTTTTCTTTATTCCAGTGCTAAGCATTGGCAAGTTATTAGATCTTTCCAAATCTCAGGTTCTTCCTCTGGAAAACAGGAATCAGAACTCCAAACAGATGGCGTCATACAGGTTGAATGAGATTTGCATGTGAAAAGTCCAGCAAGCAAGAACCAAGCTGTGAGCCCCCTGCCACAGCAGACACACCCCTGACTTGGTTCTTCATCCTTGGCACGAACATGCTGGACACCCAGGACAGGTCCAGCAAACAAACAAACAAATTCGGTCCCATATTGCAGACAGGGAAACTGAGGTCCACAGCAGATAGCCTGTGTGAGTCTGGGCTACACCTGAAGCTATTTATCACAGTCCCTGTGAGAAGGCGTTTGGAAAGGTTGGGGAGCTTCTGGCTTCACGAGTGGTTTGTGGAACCTGAGAAACAGCCCATGCTCACTACAAGTGTTCTTGGGAGATGGTTCCTGTGGGAGTTCCAGCTATTTTTAGTGGAGTCACAAGTCAGCAGGAAGATGGGGAGGGGAGAGGAGTGCACGCATCCAAACCAGGCAAAGACCCTGGCAAAAGACCCTGCTGAAGAGATCACCCAAAGCACCTGTCCGTTCTGTGATCTCTCAGTGCCCCTGTGGCCAAAAAAAGGAAAAAAAAAAGGCTTTCAGCTGTGGATGCTACTTATGCACTGAGGGGGGGGGGGAGGCTGTCTTTCAAGGGTCTTCTCCTGCTCAGCTGAATGGTCATGGAGGGCAAAATATTTAGTTTCCCCAAAAGCCAAACTCCAGTTGCAGACAGCAGGTCGTGGAGCCATTTCCAGCTGTGGAAAAAGAGTCCAAGCTTTCAGAGTCAAACAAGTTGGGGTCCAGGCCCTTGACTGCAACGTTTCTAAGCTCGTTGACCTAGAGATGGTCATGGAGATACTTGGACACTCAGCACCTCCTCCGGAAAACAGGGGTGGGAGTAGCCACGTGTAGGAGAGGACAGCACAAGCCCAGCGCCGCCATGATGCCCAACACCCGCTGAATGTTAGTTTCTGAATGCTGGTTTTCTTTTTTTCCCCCGTCTCTGTGATAAACGCGCTATTAGGCCAGCACGCCTGACAAAGGCTTATCTGAAAATAGGTTCGAGATCCGTGCTTCTGCCGGGTTTCGGGGATCAGCCGGCAATCCATTTCATGGATAACATCATCCTTTACCAAGAAAACATTAAAAATTAACCCAGAGGACTTCATATTTTTCTGCTGGGAGCAAAGCTGCTATGGTTACCAGATAATGCACAGGCTGAGCTGGAATACAGACAAGGACTTTTTTGTTTTTGTTTTTTGTAAGAAAGCAAAGGCTCACAGCGATGGCTCACGGAAGAAAGAGAATACCCATCAGCCTCTGAGCTTGGCAGAAGGCATTTGACTCCAGGCAGCATCGAACCCATGAAGGACATTTGATCCTTGGTTCAAAGAAGAGGGTGGAGCTGCTGGGGGAGTTGGGACAAATGGCAGACAAAGCTAGAAGGAACTTGGAAGTGTGGGTGCAGCCCCAAGCCCCATTTCTTACCACACACACACACACACACACACACACACACACACACACACACACACTTCTTGACCTTGGAAAGCTCTAGGCTAAAGCCAGAGGTCTCCGCTCCACATCCAGTTATCTCATCTGCCCAGGACAAGGCTCCTTGCTTTTGGACCCAGAGCCAGGGTTTCCGTGGAGGACCTGGGCATCCCGTGGACAGAGGCCAGGGCAGGTCCCTACAGAGCTAAGATAGGCACTGACCTCCTGTCATCTCCTGTCTTGGAAAGAAAGTTTCAGGCGGCTCAGAGAAGTAGTTGGTCTTGACCCCAGGAGAAAGAGCCCCATGTACCTGCCTGTTCTGGGTGAGACGGGCAGCCCACATGGGCTGGATGGGGGTGACCTCACACATGCGTGGGGTGGGGGACCTGGAAGGGCTCACCCCCAATCAGGCAACAGTGTTCTCAGTCCTGGGGACTGGGAGGCAAGATGTCTGAGTCTTACTGGATTGAGTAAACAGTGCGGAGGCTCAGGAAATGAATTCTAGAGTGTGGGCCAGGAGTCCTGGGCTCTGGCTTTGCCACTAGCTCTCTGGATGACCTTCAGCAAGTCTCTTTCCTTCTCTGGCCTCTCCTTTTTTATTTTATTTTTTTCCTGAAAAGTACAAGGATGATACTAGATGACCCATGGTTCCTTCCTGCTGCAAACACCTCTACATCCTGAAAGTGGAGGGGCAATAACTGGAAGGCACTGGAGGACCCAGGGGAGAATCATATGCGTCAGGAGCATGAACCCACTGGGGCAGGGCCATAAGCCTCTAATCCGAAGCCAGGTTGGGGGTGCCCTTCTGGGACCTGATGCTGAGACAGTGCCCCTAACAGAATAGCCATGCTCCCTTTGACCACGCATCCAACGACCATTTACGGAGCGCCTCCTAGGTGCCATTCTCATTCTTGCCTCTGCACAGGAGCTACTGGGGAACTGTCTTGTGTTGCCAGGGCCCAGGCCAAGGCCTGGCATGTGGAATGTTCCCTGCACTGAACTCAAGGCTGAGAGTCAGCTCTGCCAGCAGCAGGAAGGGGGCGTTGAACAGGCCTGGAGCCTCGCCATG